ATTCTCCTGCCTCAGCCTCCCAAGTAGCTGGGATTACAGGCGTCTGCCACCGCGCCTGGCTAATTCTTTTGTATTTTCAGTAGAGATGGGGTTTCACCATGTTGATCAGGCTGATCTCAAACTTTTGATGGCCTCAGATGATCTACCCACCTCGGCCCCCCAAAGTGCTGGGATTACAGGCACGCCTGGCCTCCCAACCGCTAATTCTTATGTTCATCAATCAGTCTCTCACTCGGGCTGCCCTAGGAGGAGGTGAAGTGACCCCAGCTCTCTGCTCCTCACATGGGTGCTGCCGTGTCACTGGCTCAGGCTCAGCTGCTGGGTCTCCTGGCTCAGGAGAATGAACCCTTCCTCCACCTCAGCTCAGAGCACAGTGATGATTTGTGACTTCCTTCCCAGTAGAACTTCAGATCTCTGAAGACGGGGGTGGGGGGATGTACTTGAGTGTTTGTACTCACGGCCTTGTTCTAGGAGTGACAAAGCTGGAACACAATACCTGTATGCATGAAAAGGTTGTCACTTGTCACAACTGACAGGCTTTCATCTCATGGAAATTTTCTTCCCTTGTGCACTTTTCCCCTGGCAGTGGACATGGCTGAACTCTTCCAAGAAGCGAGCAGCTGTCCCGTCTGCTCAGACTATCTAGAAAAACCAATGTCCCTGGAGTGTGGATGCAGCGTCTGCCTCAAGTGCATCAACTCACTGCAGAAGGAGCCCCGTGGGGAGGACCTACTTTGCTGTTGCTGTTCTGCGGTCTCTCAGAAGAACAAAGTCAGGCCCAATCGGCAGCTAGAGAGGCTGGTTTCCCACATCAAGGAACTGGAGCCCAAGCTGAAGAAGATTCTGCAGATGAACCCAAGGATGCGCAAGTTCCAAGGTAAGGAATCTGTATACCCTGCCCCCTTCCCACGACCAGACCAGGAAAAATCATTTGTGCAATTGGCCCCCCATTCCATGTGGGGATTAGCTGCTGTCTGGCATCTAAAATTGAGATGCTTCTTCATCATCAGATTCGCAGCCCTGACAACACACAGAATCACCTGGTGATCTCCAAAACAAAAACAAACAAAAACGCGATGTCTATGTCATGGGTTAGACAAGGGATTCCCTAAACTTAGTGTGCTTAAATTACCTGGAAATCTTGTTAAAAGGCAGATTCTGAACTAGGAGGTCTCAGGATTGTTCCCACTGGCTTAGGGACTTTGCTGAGTAGCAAAAACATAGAGCAACTGAATTTGAATTTCTCTTTAGCAAAGGTTCCCAGGACTCTGACATTAAAATGGGCCTGGTAATTCTAATGCACAGTGAATATTGGCATCCATTGCACCAAACAACCTCACCCTAGGGTTGGGAAGAGTTTGGAATGGAGCACCTGTGGTTTCTGTGACTGTGGGGAGAGCTGCAGACGCTGGTCTCCTCATCCACGCACCATGGGCTTCAACAGGGGTCCTGGCTACAGAAAATACTATCACTCTCCATAACTCCGGAGAAAAGGGACATTTAAATGAACAGATTATGGTCAGCCTGGGCAAAGAATTACACCTATAAATGGTGGTGGGCCTCTATGATGTCCCTGACACTAGTAGCTTCTGCCCTGACACAATCTCTACTCATCCACCTACCAGTACCTGTCTCTCTGCTGAAATATGGAGGACACATTCACCCTGGCCAAGTCATGTTTGGAACCGTCTTCCTCCTTCCTTGCCCATGTTCATTCATTTCATTCCCTAACTCACCATCAAACAGCAATCAATCCCCTCAAGTTTTACTGTAATCTATAAAATCTATATTGGTGATCATATCAGTTTTTTGACTTGAAGGATTATACGTTCTGTAGATTTCTTTTTCTGAATGTTCTGGACAATTAATTTTCTCTAGGCCAGATCTCACCGCCTCCTTCCTCTGTCATCACATTGTCAGCTGCAGAGATGTCCCATCTGCTGTCAGAACTGTGCACAATTAATTTGTTTACAAACATGGAAAACAAAGGCCTGGAATCATGCTCTAGATACTATTTAAATTGAAGCAATAAAACGTGGAAACAAATATCATTTCATATCGACCACTTGCATTGTCTTATTATTTATTTGTTCCTGCATCAAGGTGGTAGAAAGGGGGTCATGGTGTCTGCCTTCAGAGACCCTCCACTCTAAATGAAGAGATGTCCAATGAAGCAAACATGTGACATAAAGTAAAATAAGAATTGCTACCGTGAATAAGAGTCGGGTATTGCTACAAAGCATACCTGTGAGAATTTGAACTAGTCAAGGAAGTTGCCTCATGAAGTTTTGATTTTGGGGGAGAATTAAAGAAACTAAAGTCAAGAGACATTTGGGCCTTTGAAGTAGAGGAGAAGCATGGGGTGGGCTTCGGTCCATTTGCTGAGCAACCTTTTTTCCTTTTCACAGTGGATATGACCTTGGATGCCAACACAGCCAACAACTTCCTCCTCATTTCTGATGACCTCAGGAGCGTCCGAAGTGGGCGCATCAGACAGAATCGGCAAGACCTTGCCGAGAGATTTGACTTGTCCATTTGTGTCCTGGGCTCCTCTCGCTTTACCTGTGGCCGCCACTACTGGGAGGTAGACGTGGGAACAAGCACAGAATGGGACCTGGGAATCTGCAGAGAATCTGTTCACCGCAAAGGGAGGATCCAGCTGACCACAGAGCACGGATTCTGGACTGTGAGTTTGAGGGCTGGAAGCTGCCTCTCTGCCAGCACGGTGCCGCTGACTTTCCTCTTTGTAGATGGCAAGCTACAGCGAGTGGGGATTTTTCTGGATATGGGCATGCAGAACGTTTCCTTTTTTGATGCTGAAGGTGGTTCCCATGTCTATACATTCAGGAGAGTCTCTGCTGAGGAGCCACTGCGCCCGTTTTTGGCTCCTTCAATTCCACCTAATGGTGATCAGGGTGTCTTGAGTATCTGTCCTGTGATGAACCCAGGCACTACTGATGCTCCAGTCCATCCTGGGGAGGCCAAACAAACCCCCACTGCAAAAAAACAAAAAACAGGGTAAGAAAATTACTTGGGTGGGTAGACTTGGAAACTTTCTACTTGGTAAAAGCGTTATACAAAGTCATAGGAGAAAAAAACGGGACATGTCATGATTGTATTTAATCTAATTTGATTAGATTATAAATTGAGTCCTAAGTATTAATTATTGCCACTATCCAACTCATTGAGTCTTATGTTCACATCTTGTTTCCTATAGAAATGTCCTGTATTCTGGGATCAATTTCCAAATGCTTTACTTTTTTATTTCTGTAAGTTCAAATTAATGTATTATAGAAGTTATGAGTTAAATAAACATTGGAATATCACCTAATGGATTATGTGATTTTCCTCCCTCAGCCTCCTGAGTAGCTAGGATTACAGGCACTCACCATCAACCCCAGCTAATTTTTTGTATTTTTAGTAGACAGAGGGTTTCACCATGTTGGCCGGGCTGGTCTCGAACTCTTGACCTCATGATTCACCTGCATCGGCCTCCCAAAGTGCTGGGATTGCAGGCGTGAGCCACCACACCCAGCCGGATTATGTGATTTTATAAATGATAAGAGTGCAATAGATTTTATTCATAGTAAAAGTGTGAGAGTGTGTGTATACGTGTGTGGTGCATGTGTGTGTATTTGAACAGAGAGCTGGATAAATGCCTATGTCCTATCCAGAACTGAAAAGACAAGTTGTCGCCATCATTGCTCAGTGTAGGTAGCATTTTCCTGGATGTGCGTTCATCTACATTAACAATGATAATTCCCCCAATTAATTATTGTAATTATTAATTGTAATTGTTACAATTAATAAATATGCAGGCTAACAAAGCAAAAAAAGATGACACACATTGTTAATATCAGAAATAAAAGAGGGGCCATGTCTACCAAACTGTTGAGCATTAAAAGGATAATCTGGGACTGTTATGAATGACTCTATTCCCACAGTTTGATAACCTAGGTGAAATGTATCAATTCCTTGAGAGACATAATCTTCCCAAGGTCGCACTAGAAACAGATCATCTGAACAGCCTCTGCCTATTAATTGAATTAACATTAAGAACTTTCCAAAAAAGACAACGCCAGAACCAAATGATTTCTCATATGAAATCCACCAAATTCTTACGAATCCCAACATATTTTCACAATACAATCCAAAAATTGTGCTCTTGGGTATGTACTCAGTTGAGATGAAAAGTTACGTCCACACGAAGCCTGCACAGGAATGTTTACAGCAGCTTCATCTATAACCACCCAAACTAGAAGCGAGATGTTCAAAAGGTGAATGAAAAAAATAATCATCCATAAAACACAACATTATTCTGTGATTTAAAGGAGTTCTCCATCAAGGCATAGAGAAGACAAAGACATGTATCAGAAAGACTGTGAGGGCATGGCTTCAAGTGGATGAGACCACACAGAAAGGCAGCAGAGCAGGGTGACTTTAAGTATATTGATTAGTGAAGTAAGTTCATCTGAAAAAGCTACATAATACTGGGTTGGTGCAAAAGTAATTGTGCTTTTTGGCATTAAAAGAATGGGGAAACCACAGTTACTTTTGCACCACCCTAATATATGACTCCAACTATATGACATTCTGGAAAAGGCAAAACCAAGGGGATGGTAAAAATATCAGTAGTTGGCAAGATTTCTGGAGAAAGAGGACAGAGATTCATAAGTAAAGAAGAGGGAAGTTTTGGAGATCAAAATGGTAAACATAACATGGCAAATATTTCAAAATTCATAGAACTGTGTAACAGGAAGAAAGAACACGATGTGAATGGTAGACTTTAGATACGAATGTATCAATATTTGCACATTAATTTTAGCAAATACAACACGGTAATGTAAGATGGGAAAGTTAGGTGGAATTATAAGGTAGGGTGACAGAATAGAATAATACGGGAACTTTGTATATCACATGCTCAATCTTTATGTCAGTCTAAAACTCTTGGTTAAAGAAACATATCCATTTTTTAAATTGTAATATAGCATGACTGTTTCAGGGAGATCTCTTCACAATAATGTACAACAATTGAGTCATGTCTAGACATTAGCTGGAAAGATTGTCTTACTATTAAATGTGAACCAAAATTGACTTTTAAATGTGTATTTAATTTTGTGATTTCAGCAATACTTCTTGACTAGGCAAATAAAAACTCTGGCACATTTGAACATATAGCTTAACTTATTCATAGCTTCCTCTTACATATGGGACACTGAATATAATCCACAATTGTTATTCTTAAATCAACGTAATAAATTTCCACGGTACCTTCATATGGGTGCACCCGGT